CTGTGAAACATCTCATAACATGAACTTAAAAGCCATTATGCTAATTGAAATTAGTCTACCACAAAATACTGTATGAGACCATTACCATAAGAAATCAAGAACAGGGTTTCACATAAAAAGAAATATACTTTGATGGTTACCATGGGTAGGTGGAAAAGGAGGGTAAACTACCAACTAATGGGTGTTGTTGTTATGTGCCATCGAGTCAGCCCCGACTCACAGCGACCCCTCCTTGGAGTTCTGAGGCAATATCACCACGGAAGCAGATTGCCCAACCTTCCTGCCAAGGAGTGGCTGGTGGGTTTGAACTGCCAGCCTTCTGGTTAGCAGTCAAGTGCCTTTGGCATTACGCTAACTAGAGGATGTTGTTGTTGTTCTTGTTATGTGCCATCGAGTTGGACCTGACTCATAGCGACCCCTCCTTGGGTTTTCGAGGCGGTATCACTACGGAAGTAGATTGCCCCATCATCCTTCCGAGGAGTGGCTGGTGGGTTTGAACCGCCAGCCTTCTGGTTAGCAGTCAAGTGCCTTAGGCACTATGCTACCAGAGCTCCTAACTAGAGGACAGACACATATAAATTAATATTCACCCAAATCAGGGTGAAGGGAAAAGTAAAAAATTGAAAGAAAAAAAGGAAACTGTCAAAGGGTCCATCAGTAGAAGAGTAGTAAAGACAGTCTAAATAAAAACACATTGATATAATGTTCAATGTACTAGAATTGTGATCTTATGCAAGTGACTATGATTTAACTTCTTTGTGCATCAATTCCCTTATCTGTAAAATGAGAACACTAACAGTTCTGACCTCAAGATGTTGTAAGGATTAAATGAATATTGTACAAATGAATAAAGATGACTCAATTCATACAAATATCCAGATAGGCATAAATAAATAAAATATATATATATAGAGAGAGAGACAGAGAGACAGAGAGTGAGAGTAGTATAAGGAATACACTTACATACCCTTTACCCAGATTCACCTATTCACCTATTGATAACATTTTGTCCCATTTGCTTTATCATTTCTCTTATTCCCTTCTCCATTTCTATCAAATACATTTTTCTAAGTCATATGGAGAAAGCTGCATATTTCTTGGTTTTTTACTCCTAAAAACTTTAGCATGTGCTTCCTAAAAGTAAGGATGTTTTCTTACATAAATACAGTATTTAACAACTTCAGTGAATTAACACTGATACACTACTACTACAATCAAGATACAGAACAGTTCCATAAGCCCCTAAAATTCTCTCATGCTGCCACTTTACATCCAATGCCTCCTTTAACACCCTGGTAACCACTATTTTCTATCTCTATAATTCTGTCTTTTCCAGAATGTCATATAAATGGAATCATTTAGTATATAGCTATTTTCAAAAAATGTGGTAAAATTCACAGAACATAAAATTCACCATGTTAAAGTGTACAATTCAGTGATATCTAGTATGTTCACAGTGGTGTGCAGCCATCACTATTGTCTAGTTCCAGAATATTTCATCACCCTAAAAGGAAACCCTGTACCAATTAAGCAGTTACTCTCCATTCCTCCCTTCACCCAACTCCTGGAAATTACTAATCTGCTTTCTGTCTCTATGGATATGTCTGCCGTGGATATTTCAGATAAATGGAATTATACAATATGTGGCCTTTTGTGTCTGGCTTCTTTCATTCAGTGTAGTATTTGCATTTATTCATGTTATAGCACATATCAGTACTTCATTCCTTTTTATGGCAGTGTTTTTTTTTCCCCCACTCAGTATAATGTCTATGAGATTCACCCATGCTGTTATGTGCCATGTGTAGTTTCTTCATTTTTATTGCTGAATAGTATTCCACTGCATGGTTATATCAGAGTTTGCTCATTCACCAAAAGATATTTTATTTCTGATACTTTTTCCAGGAGTATAATCATATAATTCAAGGTAATCTGTAAACACACCAAACATATGCAGGTTCATAATCTCTTATCTGCAACTTGAAAATCCAAAAGCCCTTAACTAGCTAGTTTTTTGGTACGTTTGCAATGACGTCATCTGGAAGGAAATTCTGCCCTACACTACAGAGTTTCTTTTTTAAGAACTCTTTATTTAGTCCTCTTACAGGGACTGGTTATACATTTTGCTGCAGAAGTATTACTATGTCTGTGTATACATTTCCACTGGGGGAATTAAGTCATGTATCACATACCTTTCTAAATGTACATTAATTTTCTACACTTAGAAAATTTCACAAAGTCATCAGACCCACAGATTTTAGATAAAAGTTGTGGGGCAAAAGTTAAATTAATACATTCTTGGAATCAGTTAAACAGGCATTAATCACTACTCTGTTGTACACCAGTTCCCCATTACATCGATGAAAAGGATAAACTCTATCCCACAATCCCGATTCTCATGGGCAACGTCCATCTTTCATGATCTTTGCAGGTTATCATCCAGCCTAAAAAAATAACTGGGATTTTCATCTATAATAGTTTCCCTTTCCCAATGAAATTCATACACAATCCTTTTCAAAATGCTAAAGTTCTCAGTACACCTGGCTGTTTCAAGGCATATTCTTCAGAAGATATTTAAGACTTAAACAGCACTGCTGTAAAACCTAAAGTGCTCTTTAATGCTTCTCACCTGAGAAGAGTTCACAGCTGCTCTCCACATACACCACAGACATATACTCATTTATTCATTCCATGCGCACTGGAACCTACCAAGTGCGAGCAAAGCATCAAGCATGGGGAAACAGCAGGGAACAAGACAGACAAGTTTTCTGCTACCACGGTGCTTGTTCTCTAATATGAGGAATGAGACATACAAAACCACTGAGAAAAATACCAAAGTGATAGACCCTACAATTAGAAAATAAGTTAACAGAAAGTGATCGAGAGGTGATTTTAGACTAGATGGTGAGGCAAGGCCTCTAAAAGGTGAAAATGAAACCAAGAACAAGACAAGTGAGGATCAGAGACGGAAGAGCCTATCTTTGCAAAAGCACTGAAACAGGAGGATGTCTGTCTTGGTCAATGACTAGAGTAAGGCTCAGTGTGGCAAGAATATAACAGGTAAAGTGGAGAGCAATATGGGCTGAGATCAAACAGGCAAGGGCCAGCTCATGCAGGGCTTTGTAAGTCAGAGAAAGGAATTAGAGATTTCTTCTAAGTGAGATCAAAAGCTGTTAAGAGTATTTTAGGCACGGGAGTAACATGATCTGACTAATATTTTCAAAAGTTCATTCTACTTGCCACACAGAGATGTAATATAGATAATGTGGGGCTGGTAATTCAATTCTTTCATTAAAGAAAAGAAAAAGAATAACCATATATGGATTTAAAAACACTATTATTTCATATAATAAAAAGCCAAGAAAAGATTTTATTTCCTGAAAGGTGTATTCTTCTTTAACCACCGTCCTGAACAATTTCACATGTGCATCAATGTCTTTGGTCTGCCAATTACAATTCAAATAACCACCACAGCTAGCAAATTTAAGAACTTCCATTCTAGTATTTTTTTACTGTGCTGACACTATCTGACAATACAAACTGAAAGTCAATCAAATGAATACTTAAAAGAAGTCAAAGAGTTTAAATTGCTGCTATTTAAACAAGACTTCTCTTCTTTTCTGAATATATCAATACTCAATGAAAGCACAGTTCATGAAACAAGCTTGAAGATGAGGCTATAACCCTGTGAGTTAAAACGCAACTCTGCCTGTAAATTCTATTTTGTTTCCAAAGAAACTAGTAAATCAAGAAAGCATGTATGAGACATGCGCAAAAAGAAGAAAGTAAGTATATTCCTGTACTTTAAACCTCCAATGGGGTGTGTGTGTGTTGGGGGTGTTGGTGAGGGTACAGCACCACTAGTATGAAAGTAACCAACAGAAAAGAAGTGAGGTAGACAAGGACATAACTAACTACTCTTAGTCATGTTTCCACAAATTCAGAGTTGATGCTTTTAAAACAAAGAAATAATTTACTGTCAGAAACATTGCTTCTGAGTTTTTTCGAAAATTGCAAGAGAAAATTCTGTGCTTAACATAAAAAGCAGATTCTTTCAAACACAAAATCTTATTTTTGCAGATATTTTCCCTCTGCAAAACCAATCTGAAGGAGAGGCTATACAGTTAAAGCAAAAATGTTACTCTATTATAAACTGTTTAAAAGTGTATACTGACATGTTTTTAGCTGAAGATTTCTTTAAATGAATTACTAAAATTCCAAGTTCTATGAAAAAAAATTAATGTTCCTTCTTCAACTTCAAATTCTACAAAATTCTTTAGAACACTAAAGAATAACTTATTTTCAAACCATGTTATATTATGGAGTCCTAAAAGAATTGTCTAAAACCTTCAGTGCTTGGCATTTCACTTTTTACCACCTTTTCTACAGTAAGATTTGAAGGAGCTAACTGAACTCAGTAGTCTGAAATACTAGAATATACTAAAAAGTGTGATCTGTGATTTCAGACCATAGAACAGAGGTCAAAGAGAAAGCTCTTCTGGATTTGTTCATGGATTTCAAGAAAACAGTCGTAGCAGGACTCCATTCTCAGCACAAGACTGAAAATTCAAGAAACCACTAATTTGTACATTTTCTCTGGGAAGCTGTCAATTTTACTCCAAAGCGATGAAATGTAAAAAAAAATACATCAAGTTTATTAAATCCCATTGTGTTCAGAGTTAAACATTCTACCACTGTGAAGAACACAAACAGCAAGTTTAATGATTTAATTATATGAAATATATTCAGGGACAAATGCTGCAACACTCACTTTATATCTCCCAGGCACTCAGGAAAATGGGAACATGGATCCTCATCGCTCATGTGTGAATATACATCCACAAAGAACCACAGCTAAAACTAAAGCTGGCTGTTATTTAAAGGCATCAGGAGGCTTGTGGAAATCTTAATTGTTTCTTAAGAATTCTGAGTAGCACATATTGTAAGAGTTCTGACAAAGACCCTTCCTAAGCCCAAGGTCACATGCATATAAAGAACCTCACCTGTGGTATACTCCTTAAACTGCAAATCCTTTATAGGCATGCCATCAGGAGTCCTAAAGGCATTAAGAATCTGTAAGAATAAAGAGTTTATACTAATTATATAAATCATAGTCAAACCCTGAATAGTACATTTTCCCTACTGATTTCCATGATGATTTAATTAACTTAAACCCATGATTACTTTATACCATTTAAACCTATGATTACTTTATAAAGGCAAAATCAAACCAGGCATTGAAAAAATGTTGAATGAGTGAAATGTAATTACTCAAAAATCCCCATGTATGTATATGTAAAAGGCTGGATAGCATAACCTTCAAGAGGATGAGCTCTGAAATCAAACTGCCTACACCCCAAACCCAAGCTCTGCTACTCACTTGCTGTGTAACTTTAAGCACATTACTTAATCTTTCAATGCCTGGTTTCAGATTATTCCAGTCGAGGGTCATGGCACTTGAACTTCCTTGGCCTGGTCAGTTCTTTTCTTCATCTTCAAATGCTCTCTCACTGCATTCAGGTTTGGGTTCATGTCATTTCCTCAACTATGCCTTCCCTAAGCAATCAATCTAAAACAGCCCTTACAGTGGTGCTGCTCTAAACCCTTACTTTAGTTTGACAGCATTCATTACTGTCTAAAATTACACTATTTATTTGCTTGCTTTTTTATTATTCAAGGAAATGACAATTTTACTATGTTCACTGTTTTATCACTCAGTGCCTGGCACAAAGTAGTATTAGTATTTTGAGCAAATGAATGAAGAATATGTACTCATAGGATACTATGAGAATCAAACAAACTAATGCTTGTAAGTACCATGCAATGCATGACACAATAAACACACAAGATCTGTTAGCTCTTGTTACAATATTCTGACCAGTTCTTCTGTTAGCTCAGCCATAATTTAATTAGCCATTCCATGAACAGTGACAAGTTATGCAGCTTGCCGTTTTTACTAATGTAAATAAACCGCCACCTTCACGTATACCTTCTAACCCTCCTTCTTGAATTATAATCTAAAGGATGATTATCAGGACTAAGGAGAGCAATCGCTTGTCATAATTTTTCTTTTTATTTTAGTAAACCTCACCTCATTGAGTACATAACTGGTGAAAACCAAATAAGCTCTATGGATTGTACCAACATCAATTTCCTGATTTAGATACTACACTTGTTGTTGTTGTTGTTTGCCGTCAGGTCGGCCCTGACTCATAGCGACCCCTCCTTGGGTTTCCGAGGCAGTATCACTACGGAAGTAGGATTGCCCAACCTTCCTTCTGAGGAGTGGCTG